ATATATATGTGTTATTTTAGAATCATTGAGATATTTTAGATAATATTTTAAATTAGATTTTATTTTTTAGAATTTCTGCTTTCATGTTAATTTGGTTGTTTTTGTAATTTTTATTAGTAATTTTTATTGTTCTTGTGTACACACACACACACACACACACGCGCGCGCGTGCGCGAGTGTGTGTGTGAATGTATTTGAATGATTTAATTTATTATATATTGCAGATATTTGAGTATTTAATAATAAATAAAATACATAATCAATATAAATAATTTATTATTTATTATTTAGCAATATATATTAATTATTGGCGCCCCTTTTTACCATTTTTTTTTTACTTAGTTTCTTTTTTTACTTTTCCGGTTTATATTTTAGCACAATATACAGAGTTACCCTACTTTCTTTCCAAATTCTTATGCGGATTGCACCTAAGATAAAAAAGGGGGGTCAATAAATAAATACAAAAATAAAAAAACCCTTGACTTTTTCATGATCTGATTTTATTAATTTCTTTGACATTTCCAAGACCATAGGAACCCTTAATATAAAAAGAAAATGTAGATGACATGGGATTGCTTGATCCAAAGTCAATCAAAATGTATCTTGCACATGAGAAACAATCCTCAAGCCTTATTATAGTAAAACCTCCGGGGTTCAGTGTCTAAAGTGTGTCTGTGTTTGTTCTCACCTGTGTTCCTGGGATTCCCTGTTGACCAGGAGGGCCCGGCTCTCCCTGGGGTCCCTGTTCAACAGAAAAAGATGGTACATGTCAACTGCACCCTAAATATGTCAAATCACCAGCAATGTTCTATATATCTCTGTGTGGGCTGACATATGTGCTTTAATTGCTGATGTGAATATGATGCTAATACAGTGAACACAATGCTAACAAAATGTCTTATGGACAAAATTAATGTTAAAGTTAACAGAAAAAAAGGCTGTTATACCTTGTCAGCTTCAGAATGCCAGTGCTACATTATGATTAAACTGTTCTCATATTTTACAGGAAGTTCGCCTTAGTGTTTAAAATGTGTTTAGTTACTTTACAAGAAACACTCTTTTTCATGGCATATCAGTTTAGTTCTGAAAAAAAAAAAAAGTTCCTGAATATATCTGAGGGGTCATGACTTAGCGTTTATACATAGATGAATTAACTGTTGTTTTTATTAGTTATAATGTGGTTCCGAAAACATAAGATGTTTCAGATTTGATACGCCAAATTCAGAGCTATTTTGTTACACAAGGTTTATTCGTTCACTGTGGCAGTAAGAAATGAAATTTAAACTTGACAGTAGTCCTAGTATAGATACATAAAGGCTGAAACATGTGTAAAACCCTCTCAACAAGTAACCTATCATCAGCATCAGCTACACTGATTTTATCTACAAAACGCCAGGTTTACGAGATCCATGTCTCTTACCATGTTTCCTTTGGGACCATGTGGACCATCAACACCAGCAATGCCCTGCAGAAATCAATTGTAAAAGATTAGAAGTGGGCAATCAGCATCAGATCCATAAGATTCTAAATCAAAAATCACTTACAGGTTGTCCAGGAACTCCAGGAGGGCCTCTAGGGCCGAGCAGACCTCGCGGCCCCTGAGATAAAAAGAAATGAGAAGGTTCTGATTAAAAAGACCAAGTATTCTCTTCTGAATTTTTATAGGAATCATGATAAGCTGTTGAGTGACTCTGCCCTCTGGTGGCAAACTGGAAATAAAACATAAAAAAAATAAAAAAATACAAGGTGAGACACACTTACACTTTCACCAGCAAGTCCTCTTGGTCCAATCTCTCCATCTTCTCCCTGTAAAGGTGGAAGAAGTGAAGAGAATATGGTTATTCTAATAGCTGAAACTGATGAGAAAGACGTTTCTTCAGTTAATTCAGAAAAACACTTACCCTTGGTCCGTCCTCTCCGTGAGGTCCATGGGAACCAGGAGGACCGTTCTCACCCTGCCAGAAGGAGACAGACATACTTTATTACATCCAACTTAATATATAATCTTTTCACTTTTGCTTGAAAGTGATCTAGGGAGCCATTTTGGATCCTATTATTATTGCCTGTGTTGACAGGGGAAAAGGCTGGAAATACCCTACTGTAGATTTTCCAGAGTAGAAGGCTCTTCATTTCACGTTGGAAGTGCTCATGATTCTTCTCAGTATCATTATTTATTATATATCCATAGTACAAGGAAGAACAAAATTGTCAGCTAATGTTGTATGTTTGACGCCCTTGTTTCCAATGTACAATAAGGATACTATTATTTTGTTATTATTGTTGTTGAAAATAAAAATGTAAAAAAAATAAAATAAATTTTGTTGGTGCTTATTATACTGACTATATACCTAATATTGTTACATTTCATAAAAAAAAGTATTAACAGTCATTGTAAAGAAATCTAACATTTTGCAAAATATAAAAATGCTAATCAATAGCCTTGCAATAATAATAAAAATCAGCAATATGCTTCAGTTAAAAGAAGCAGTATTATATGTCAAGTTATTAATGTTAATAATTAATGTTCTTAATGAAAGTTACTAAAAAATAAATTTTCAAATGCTAACTAGAGAGCATAAAATTTACTTGTTTGCGGCAATCAATTTATGTTATTTATTTTTTTGTTTTAAATTATATTTAGTTATTTAATATGTAACAATATATATTAATTGTCCAAATTGTCCAGTATTTTTATTAATTTTATTTTAACACAACATACAGAGTTACCACATGTCCCTCCAAAATAGGAGTTGCACCTAAGAGATAATTTAGTAATTAGCATATTGTTGTGAATCATTGCTGTGAAAAATAGTTGTGAATCTCTTCTACTTTTCAAAGCCCCCTCTATACAACCTGATCATTTACTCTTATTTTACTGCATTTGTCAGTTGAATTGTTTTGTATGCATTCATACTCACCCTGTGTCCCTTCTCACCGGGCAGACCTGGAAGCCCATCAAAACCTCTGTCACCCTTTGAAGAAGATGAGGTAAAAAAATTAAAATAATATATTTATAGGTACTATATCGCATATGGCATATATGTGGGTGAGAATATCTCTTGTACCTTAGATCCAGATTCTCCAGGCATTCCACGGGCCCCATCGGTTCCAGCACGACCCTGTCACAGAAAGATCAGAGAAGATATGACGACTGGAAACCATTATGTGTTCATACTCTAACCGAAGACTCATTCAAGTGAACGCAAAAATGAATAATCTTTTGTGTGTGTGAAAAATAAAGAGAAATATCTTACTCTCTTGCCAAGTTTTCCCATTTGCCCTGGTGGGCCTTGGATACCCCTCGGACCCTATGATGGAAAGATATATGATTATTTAAGTAAGTAAGATAATTAGGTAGGATGACCTTGGGTGGTGAGAAATGCTGTCTTACCTGAGGACCATGGTCTCCACTCTCTCCTTTCAGTCCAGGAGAACCTGGAAGACCCTAAATGTGGTTGACACCAGAGAGAGATGTATTAGACCAAGACTAGACCAAACCAACATGTTTTAACACAGTTACAGAAAGATCGAAATGCCTGCAATATATACAAAGAAACAGAAGGTGGCAATATTTCACAGCATATACAATTCCTGTTCTTCACTCTCCTGGAGAATCAAAGCCCTGAATAAAAATACTAAATTTAATGTAGTTGACATAATGAGCTAGATTTGTTTTAAGAGCTAGTTATTGCATTTTTACTAGGGAATTGTGCTGTTTCGTTAGCATCGCACCAGATGAAGCTGAATACTTAGAAAATAAACTTGATTTTGAAATTGCTGTAATTCCAGACAGACTGTCCTAGTTTTTTTCTAACTTATTTCAAAGATAATTTGAGCGTTGAGTTTTGCATTTATTTCTAAAAGTACACCCTACTATAAGGAACCATTTGGAAACTTGAAGATTCTCATTTGTCTGCTTTTTAAATGACACATCTAAGGATTCCCAAATCCCAACTAGCCATTAAACAGTAGCTGTGTTCTTTTCTTAAACAGAGATTATGATTTCAAAGTCTCTCTTAAATGGTGGCAATATTTCACAGCATATACAATTCCTGTTCTTCACTCTCCTGGAGAATCAAAGCCCTGAATAAAAATACTAAATTTAATGTAGTTGACATAATGAGCTAGATTTGTTTTAAGAGCTAGTTATTGCATTTTTACTAGGGAATTGTGCTGTTTCTTTAGCACTGCACCAGATGAAGCTGAATACTTAGAAAATAAACTGTTGATTTTGAAATTGCTGTAATTCCAGACAGACTGTCCTAGTTTTTTTCTAACTTATTTCAAAGATAATTTGAGAGTTGAGTTTTGCATTTATTTCTAAAAGTACACCCTACTATAAGGAACCATTTGGAAACTTGAAGATTCTCATTTGTCTGCTTTTTAAATGACACATCTAAGGATTCCCAAATCCCAACTAGCCATTAAACAGTAGCTGTGTTCTTTTCTTAAACAGAGATTATGATTTCAAAGTCTCTCTTAAATTCCCACCCCTCGTTTCACGCTCAATCAATCATGTAGGAAATGTATGACTTGACATGGCTGTGGTTGCCACTTTTCAAATGCTTATTTTAGGTATTTTTATCATTAGTTTTGTCGCATCTGAGTAGGATCATTACTTGCCCAAAGAGGTTTCAGGCGTGAGTTCACCGGCCCATCGTGTTTCAACAGGTATGGTTAGAGCAGACTCAAAGTCTCTCTTAAATTCCCACCCCTCGTTTCACGCTCAATTAATCATGTAGGAAATGTATGACTTGACATGGCTGTGGTTGCCACTTTTCAAATGTTTATTTTAGGTATTTTTATCATTAGTTTTGCGCATCTGAGTAGGATCATTACTTGCCCAAAGAGGTTTCAGGCGTGAGTTCACCGGCCCATCGTGTTTCAACAGGTATGGTTAGAGCAGACAGTTAGGTTCATTTATCTAGTTGCATGGTCCGGTGTTATTTTAGAATTTTTTTAGGTTAATGTTTATTTTATTTTACTTTAGGCAACAAAAATGTTTTTTAGTTTTAGGTTTTAGTTTTAGTTTCAGTTAACTATACGTAATAACCCTGACCTGGCCTCTCTACTCATTGAAAATTAAGTAAAAGAAAAGATATTGTGCAAACATTTTGGAGCCCAATAAGTGTCCTCCCACAGAGGACTGTTGGTGGGATCATCTGGGTTAATACATTTTTTTTTTTTTTTTACAAATATTATGAATGGGAGAGTGATGGCATTTTGCATATAATTAATAGTGATGAACTTTGAATCGCTGCATTAAATCGCATTGCTCTGATTTTCAGTCAGTAAAATGGTGATTGGCAAGCTGATTGGGTGCCTCTTTTGCAGAGGTCATGGGGGTCACTGAAACTCACCACTGGGCCAGATCTTCCAGTGAGACCCATTGGACCTGATGGACCTCTCATGGCGAGCTGCGAAAACAAACCAAAGAATCAAAATCAGCAAAATATCATCAAACATATACAATAATTGGCGGACATCTACTCTCTTCAGCCAGAGGAGGTGGGGCGTTGTCCGCATTTGTCAAGGACAGATCTGAGCACTAATCTGTAACACCTGTCAGGTCGCCCTCCTGCGGGTCGTGAACCTTGCTAGTATTTTTAACTAGTCTCTCCGCATGAGTCAAAGCAGCCTGTGCTGCTCCATTTCACTCTTGTTTTAGCGCAAACAAGACCGGAGCAAATCCCCTCCCCACCCTCTGACCCTCAGTCAAGTGTCCCCCACCTCCCCCTCAGCAAACAGCTGGGAGAAGCTCGAGGGCCATTTGGCCCTTTACTTGTCATACTCACCCTGGCCTGAGAAAGAATGGCCTGAGCCTGGGCTTCTTGAGCCGACACCACTGGACCCTTTTCCCCATCACCGCCAAAACGGAACTGTCAAACATGAACAGAGTATTCATTATTATCATTTACATTTAGAAAAACTTCATACTATCATACACTACACTATAAATACTGAGTCAAACAAACACGAAAAGCAATATTCTGACTATTTAATAAGGATTTAGATATTATTTTCAATATATGCTATAAAGAAGTGAAGTATGCAGTCATTATTTTTCATGTTTCTATTCTCATTATGTATAACACTTTATAATGTACTATACTATGCTATACTGTAAATACTAAGTATTATGAATATTTCATTAGGATTTAGACAGTTTTCAAAACTACCACACAATATGCTGTAAAGAAGGGAAATGTGCAGTCATTATTTTCATTTTTGTATCACATTAAATACTACATACTATACTATACTGTAAATACTAAGTTAATCAACTACGAAAAGCAAATACTTTTGCAATTTACTAAACAACAATATGCCCTAATGAAGTGAAGT